TGAAAGAAGCCTGCAATTAGGACAAAACTTAAAAACCAAGTTAGGCCTTGAAAATAAAATATTAAATCAATAATTATTAAGTGTAGACCAAGGTGCCATATAATTTTATAAATGATGGGATATCAAATAGGCATGAAATAGTCCACTGCAACGTCTAAGCAGTTGAAGTAGTCTAGGTATTTCCATGTGCTCATGACAGGAAGTTTTAGGATGTGTCTTCACTGCCAGGACCAGAAAGACAATATAATGTACTCAACCCAACCACATGCTGCACTTCCTTTATCATATAAAATAAGCACTTTGCAAATTATGAAAGCTAAATTTCCTCCAAAAATTTCCCATAAGCACTAATTTTTTTTCTTGGTTATGCTACATTATATGCCTAAATGCACAATATTATTCCTTTTGAAGTATTATTCATTTATTATCCCCATATACACAGTGATCATAATTTTAAAATGTTATGTGAAGTCTTTCAGGTTTTCAGAAGAGAAAACAATGAATACTAATTGATAAAACTCATTTCTGATTAATACTTTGGAATATCGCAATCCCAAATGTCTTTTATAACTTTACAATTTTAATTACATTTGCTTTGAATGAAGAGTTCAGGGCATAAGTTGCTGAGGAAATTTTTCATTGGAACACTGAATAAATCCTATGTGGCTTAATGTAGTTTCAAAGCCGTAAGATCTATGCTGCTCTACAGTTAGCATGTAGGTTACACAGAAACCTTCTCTACATTAAAGTAGAGTTTATGTTTTAAAGAACACTTCCACCTGGTTAAATTTAACTTATTATATAATTGTGACATTATGTGAGCCAATTAAGACTCTCCCTTTTCAGTGCCCCTATAGCTCACTAATCCCTCTTTTTTCTCTTCCACCTCACCACATCCTCACTTAAAAAAAAAAATTGGGTTATAGCCAAATCTTGGAATGACAATTCAAAACAGAAAACAAAACAAAACAAAAACACAGAAAAACTGCATCTTTCTAAGGTTTCTAAAAGAACAATCACCAAGTTACTTCACTGTAGATCCTACACCTATAACTAAAAGACCTGCATGATTAGAGTAAAGTTAGATTACTGGGATCTAACTTTCCAAAATGGAAGAGATTTCAAGAGGGAGACTCAGAGAGGCAACATTCCTGATTGAGGAGCAGACTAAATGGAGGTAAAAATTAAGCTTAGCATGCCTGAATGACAACAGGAAACTGCCTAGAAGACGAAACACTTCAGAAAGAGGTTGGACATAAACTGGAAATGTCTTTGTCCTAAAGATCCCTGGAGGTTCAGCACAAACTCTAAAACTGGTTTTAATTGTTTGGTATATTTTAACCTATTCATAGCTTTTAGCAAAGACAACATGGAATGAATAATTCATCAATTTTCTTCAGCATGTCAATAGGTAAACAGACTGCATGGAGCTAGCAGCTCCATCTAGCTAAGATACTCAACCCCCTCTGCCTAAGAGTCCAAGTGATATATATCAGGAGTCCTGAACAAAATGGCACTGTCACACCAGTTAGAGCTAGCTATAGCATAAGAGGGACACTTCCCAGAAAAAGTGGACTGTTATTCTCCTAAAAACTCAAATTTAAGCTAAGTAACAGGAAATTCCCAAAAGAGAATAAATACAACACTAATTAGCTAGTTCATGGGAAAGCTGAAAGTAAAAGACGCCATATTTGGAGGGACACAGGGACACAGAACTCCATGTATAAGCTAGAATTAAAGAAAAATCTACAGGCAAGCAGAGGAAGCTAGTCAGTAAAGAAGGAATAAAATGACACTCAGAGAACTGTGAGACTAAGAGGCAAACAAAAGAAACAGCATGACTAGCCTAATAGCTGTCTTAGTTTCGGGTAGCTTTCCAACCCAAGTCTGTTTACAATGAATCTCCGGGGCTCTCTTGAGGTAATGTGAGTCTCTGCTTCTCACAACCAACCACAAGACTCCAACATAAGTCACACACAATAACCACTTCCAAGTATTTCCCTCTCTCCTGCTACAGAGCATAATTATTATCGCTGTCTACCCAGCATCTCCATATGGAAGAAATAGAAGCCTCCCTTTCCTGTGGTTTATGCAGGGCTGATACCACACCCACCTCACCCTCCTTATAATACACACATATTCACACTCTCTTTCTGTCGACTGGTTCCTATGCATTTCCACCCTCTCGCACTAGCCCACGTGCTCTTTAAAGTGTTCACTTCCCTACACATGCTCTCCTCACACTCTCCTACACACTTGCCCACACAAATAGGAGTGACGTGTGACTCATGCCCAAAACAATTCCAACACCCATTCCATTAGCCTCAATGATTTGTTCAAGGCTGTGTGCCAGCCGGGCTCGGTGACTCAACCTGTAATCCCGCGCCTTTGGGAGGCTGAGGTGAGTGGATTGCCTGAGCCCACGGGTTCGAGACTCGCCTAGGCAACTTGGCAAGACCTCATCTCTACAATAAATCAAAAATCAGCCGGGCGTGGTAGCGCACCTGTAATTCCAGCTACTTGGAAGGATGAGGCGGAAGGATCGCCAGAGCCCAGCGGGTCGAGGCTGAGGTGGCCAGAAGCGGCCACTGCACTCTAGTCTGGGCGATGGAGTGAGACTCCAACTCAAAAAAAAAAAAAAGGGCTGCGTGCCAGGCCCCAGGTAAGCCAGCAAGTACTCTCCATGACTTTCCACAGGAATGCTGGTGGCCAAATTGCCAGTCCTACCAAACAAAAAAAGAGGCAGAATGTTGAAGACACTGAGCACTTGTGACCATACTATCTTTTATTAAGGAACAAGCCATTCCTTTCCCTTGAACTTTAAAGCTGAAACCCTGAAGGGAGTCTAATGTGTTCTTTCAGAGTCCTAAGCTAGAGTTCTAGGGCACAACTCATCATTCCTCTACCTATCTCTAGCAGCAGAGTGGTCTGAAGGACTTGGAGCTTCTAATAAGTTTCTTTCTTATCTTGTACATATAAAATAATTAAGAATCCAAAATTTAAAAATAAAGTCTCTAATTGCCTCTTCCATCCTTCCCAAAGTTCCCTTGAAACTGTCACATAAAGGAACAGACCAGCCTACTGTCCCAAGTTTTAAAAGCTAACAACATTCTTTCCCAGTAAAAATGATTTTCTGTTAGGAGTCACACATACACTTAAACAATTTAATAGCAGTTAAACTTATTTGCCTCTGCTATATCTACTGTCTCCCTCCACTAGACACTTGGAGCAGACACTGGGTTGGTCTTACTTATAACATCAGGTTTATGGCAGATATGCTGCAATAATCTCTTCAGAAAATTAAGAAATATAAGGTTCCTATTCACCTGATTCTATAATCACATATTTTACCTTTGCCTGATAACCACTATCTGTAAAGTACTCTACTGGGCACTATGGAGAGCTACAAAGAAGAGATATAAACTCAGTTCTCAAAGATGTGGTCCCTGGCTTCTTGTGTCCACAGATCCTTTGTAAGCTTCTGATGAAAATATGGGCACTCTATCCAGGAAAATACCAAAACAAATATGCTAAGAACTTAATTAAATTTCAAGAGATTCTTAAGGTTAAGAATTTCACACCTAATAAGATAAATAAGACAATGATACACAGACATTTGTAAAAGTACTGTGGTCTTTTCTTTGTTGGTTCTTACACTCTAAGATGAAACTTATGTAGATAGGTGATCAAGATACAGACAAGTAAGACCAAACAAGTTTCCTACTACTTTCAGAAGATAGTTATGAGAGCCTTTGTGTAAAAAGACGATTAAAAGATATCAGAACATCTGTAGCATGAAGACATGAACTGCTAATGAAGCTGCATACAAACCCAAAGGTTTTCAATGCGTAAAGTACAAAGGCGACAGAAATTTCTTATTACAAGCAGAGTGAAGATTGATAGAATCCAATCATGAAAATGTCTTGTCTGTAGGTCTTCACATTTTTTAAAATTTGTATTACACTATCTCACCAATTTAGGTGTTATAATTATGATTGGCGATTATTAAATTTTTTAAAAGAATTCATAATAATTAAAAGCACACATGGGAATGGAAGAAAAAACATGTGGTAATATAGCCTACATTCTGAAATTCTAAGAAGATTTTCCTCTTGGGTCATAAGTTTCAACCAGACTAGCTTCATTTTCCTAACAACAGTTAACAGTTTAAGAGGAAATAACCTCACAAGAGTTAGCGTTGCAAGCCAAACCTATTAAGACTCAGTAAATTCTACATTCTACAACAAACAAGTTTTCTCCAACTGTAATAATAAAACCACTCCAAAAACTTCAAGTAAATAGGCGTCCTAAAAAAAAAAAAAACCTTAAAATTTCGCTTTTTACTTCTCTAAACGCAGTAAGTTAAAAAGACAATTTCAGCTGTTATTGTGCAAAATTTTCTGACGTGTTAAAAAAAAAGAGGCACAGTAGCTAACCTACATAAAAAAATATCAACATCCCGGGCTCGGTAGCTCAGCCTGTAATACCAGCACTTTGGGAGGCCAAGATGAGAGGATTGCCTGAGCACATGGGTTTGAGACCCACCCAGGTAACTTGGCGAGACCTCATCTTTACAATAAATCAAAAATTAGCCGGGCATGGTACCTCAAGCCTGTAGTTCCAGCTACTTCGAAGGCTGAGGAGGAAGGATCGTTGGAGCCCAGGGGATGGAGGCTGCGGTGGCTGGGAGCAGCCACTGCACCCCAGTCTGGGCAACCGAGTGAGACTCCAACTCAAAAAAAAAAAAAAAAAAATCAACATAAAAAAGTTGATGCCCCAACCAGAACAATTATCAATTGTCATTGTCAGAGTTAGAAGCAATCTTAGAGATTATCCAGATCACTCCTCTCTTTTTCATAATAAAGCCAACACATGGCAAAGGTATGCCCAATAAATTGAGAACGGACTTCAAGTTTATGTAGCATATATAGGCCAAATGAGATCAGTAACATATTTTAAAACACAAAAACTAAAGTTACCAAAGCTAAATAAATACTTACGTTAAGAAGTAACTCATCTTTTGTTTTAAGAGGAAAATTCTTATTTTCCTTCTCAAATTGTAAATCATCTTCTCCATCTGATAGCACTGGAGGAAGTGATATACAAGACGATGAGGAAGATGAGGAGGAAGATGAGGAGGAGGAGGAAGAGCTTGAACTATCTGAATCTGATTCACTGTAGGGAAAAGAAAAATTAAAACTTAGTCCAGTGTATAATGGTATTAAAATAAGATTATTCAACTAGGAAATTGACTTCACTACATGTTTGCTATTGCTGTTCTAATTCCAAAGTTAGCATTTTGAAGCTGACTAGGATATTAGAAAAGCAGTCTTTAATCTACCGGTAACATCATCAAAACCCCTGATATCCCAGATCTTCTTATTACAATCATCTCACATATCATACATCTGTCAAGCATGTGACAAATCACTGAAAAAAGGAAGTTCAGGGCACAGCACCTGAGTCCCCAATCAGACCACTTAATTGCCAACAATTTCTTCTCTGTCTTCAGACAACTTGGGAACTCCTCAATCACTAATCATGTTGTCCATTCTACTCTCTGAAAACTCCTTTGGTCCTTGACTCCCACAGAAGTTCTCAGTAATAGTAGTACTCCTCACAGTTTAAATTTTGTTGCTGACTCCCACTGCACACCCTTTTATGTGCTACTTTTAAGGGTCCCATCCTCAGTCACTTTCTCTTGCCGTCCTCTTTCCATGGATAACCTCATCCACCCCAGCAATGTCAACTGTCATCCACATGCACATCAAGGCAGGCATCTTCAGTCAAGACCTCTCTGAACTCCACCTCTGACTTCTGACGTATTGGTCACTTTTACATGAATGACCAAAACATACCACTCAAGATGAGTTAACACAAGAAAACAAAGTGCATTCGCCTAACTCAACCTGCTTTTCTCAGTTTCCCTTTTTCTTCATTGCAAAACGCTGTACCCCTTCTCACTTTCTCAAGTTCCTGGTACCCTCTGCCATCACCCACAAAAGGTCAGAAGTAGTGTGCTGACACTAAGTTGTTCGCAGGATCAAGACTCCATAACCCCTCTGCCTTCAAAATTAATGCACATCATCCACCGCTTACTTCACATTCCTAGTAATTAACTCTGAAGTCCCTCAAGATGACTCTACTGTGACCTCAGTACTGCCAAGAAATGCAACTTTGCTGATAGCTGGCTTACTTCATACCTTCTCCCTCTACTCAAATCCTTCAGCCTCCTCCACTCCTCATCTCACCACGAGTCTATCTTACCCACTCATCCAGTACCCACTCAACACTCAAGTATGTGTAGACGATGTTCAGTGTGGTTTGTTTAGTAACATCCCACATGCTGACATCCTCTCCCGCCCCAGGGGTTTCCCATTTTAAAAACACAAGGCCCGGTGGGGGGGGGGAGCTTTCATAAAGTGTTGCAGAACATAAAATAACACTAAATACCACTGTTTCGCGAATTTCAGGAACCCGTGTTAAATAATTAACGTAATTATCCAGAACCAACTTTGAAACACACAAAATAAATCATTTTCCTGATTCTTAATTAACCGGGTTCAAAAAACAAGACCTAAACTTGATAAAAAGAGAAAAAAAGCTTAGCTCTGACACAAAACTCAGAACCACAGAAGTACAAGCTAAACGGAGTAGTTACTGAAATAATCTAAGCTCCCCAGGTTTTCTAGTCTAACTAAAAACGACACGCGCTATATATAGAACCCTTCAGGCTTCCAAATTCAGGAAGGAGTGAGAACTGCCTGCAGAGCTCAGGTGCTCAGCGATCTGCAGGGAAGGCGGCGAGGGGGATGAGGAGATGGGGGACAGGGGATGGGAGGCCCCGAGGGCACATGCGCCACGCGCCCCTCCCCCGCCAGCGGCCCAGCCCCGCTCCGGCCTGCAGGCGCCCGACCTGTCGGATTCCGAGTCCGAGTCCGAGGTCTCCGAGGGGCCCAGGCTGGCCACGCAGGCCCCGAGGGAAGGCGGTTCCGGCTGCGGCGCTGGGGGCCCGCCAGCCACGGGGCTGGGAGCGAGCTGCGGCGGCTGCTCCTCGACAGGCGTGGCCT